CAGGGGTAGAGGCTGTAGCAGGGCGCCAACCGTTTTTCCCAGTGATGAAGGGGGAAAGCTACAAGAGTCCGTGAAAAACGTGCTGGCCCCGCGCGAAACCTACCTGATGAGCACCCGCATCTACAGCGAGAAAGACTTTGAGCGCGTTTATTCGATATCCATCCTTATAAAGGTGCATCGGCCATGACTAAATGGCAATGGTCGCCTGAGAACTTTTGATGAAAGCTAAAGGGCAGTGGGTACGATGGCTGGATGCCATCTGTTGTTGGCAACGTCATTGGTGGAAGGGCTGCGCGAGGGCGTATGGCCACCCTCACTCAACCCTACCACCAATGACGCTATCGACAACAGCTCGCCCCAGCTATCGTGCCCACTGCCTTCAACAGCGCAATTGGAGACGTTCAAGGACATATTCCATGATGAACGGTTGGGTGGGATTGATATTTTGTCCGACTCCATGGTACACCCCATCTGTTGATAAGACGAAGGGCGCGCCAATGAGGAAAGCGCAGCGGCTGTGAGACCTGCCCATCCGGTCGTCGGGTCTCTTTGAAAAGCTTTCCAAACTTCGCAAGGATAACAACCGAAAATTAGTTCCTAGTTCCCTCCTGTTGATGCCTTTTCTTTCCAGATCAGATCCATCGTTCTCATTGTCAACGCCACAACACGTGCACTCATTAGCCAATACACTCACTTCATTTCGAGGACTTCCATTTGTCAACCATTCCCAAGCGTTTTGGCCGGAGAGATTCGTCGAATGGAGTGCTAGTTTCCGTTGCGTTGAAGGGTAAGTGTAAGATTCAGCGCTAGCCTTGGCAGCTCCAACTTACGCATGTCTTCTTTCAGGTACGTCTGCTGCAACATGTCTCATCAACTGTTTAGTGACCTGTTCTTGGATTTTTGTCTCCGCAACTCCACTTCTTACCTTTTTACCTCATACAATGACACTCCGCTCTTCGACAACAACTCGTTCGCTCTAACCGGGTCAGTTTATCCCTCAACCATCCCGGTGTAGGTCGAGAGATACACTTTGCGACCCTGCAAAAGGCATTCTGCGAGCGTCAATCGCTCCAGAACCCAACTGATGCAATTGCTACAGAACATGGTCTCAGCTAGCTAGGAATTGCTGGCTCGTTCATCCATGATCCTCGCAGGCGATGGGAGATGGGGCGCGGCAAGAAGAGCTTCCTTCCACCAATCGTCATTCTGAGCCCGCTACAATTGTTAGGAAATCTCCCCTAACTGCGCTCTAAGCCACGCCCCTTCACACGCCCTATCGTTTGCGGCCATCATGACTTGTGTTCGCGTCGCGGATCTCACCACCACCATCGCAATATCTCATCTTCCATGTGAAGTGCATAGGACTGCATAGGACTGCATAGGGTGGTGTATGTCAGAGGGACACCTGGGACAGCAGTGCCCGTGTTGTTCCCCAGTTGTGGCATTATACGGCTCGCGGCTATTGATAAGAAGGTTATCGCCGCTGGCCTCGAATCCACACTTCTGGCAGGTTTTATGCACTGTAATCATTCTAAGGTTTTTAGGTACACGGCCCTTCTACCGACGCATCTCTCGTATTCTCATCGCTTTCATAAGCTGGCGCACTCTTTTTCACTGCTTTCCACTCTCTCTTCACCACATGGATGGTGGGTTCCTGAATGGGCCCTCATATCCACTTGGTAAGTCTTTCAGCGAGCGTTCGCATTCCCCGCAGGTCGAACCGTCGACTTTCAGGTATGACCTTCAACGATCAATTGTGTCTGATATCCGCTCGTCTGTCATTGTGTCCATAGCTGTTGTGGCCCTTTTCTCGTTGATCCAGCTGAGAATGCAGGTGTGGTGTTCAGAAATAAGAGCTGGAATCTCAATGAATTTCTTTTTGCAGGCAGTGGCTGCAGTCATCTCTTGTATGTGCATCATCGCATGTTCAGTGGGTTGCGTTACGTTGCTCGGCTGGGAGATTGGAGTGCTCGAAGCGGTCATTCTGGTGCTTGTGGTCGGTCTCTCATTCGACTACACACTACACTATGGAGCTGCCATCCCCAAGAGCGGCTGTAAGTCGCATCGAATCCAGCGGGCTGCTCAACTTGCCGCCGCACCCGTCACCCTTTCCGCTTCCACATCATTCCTTGCTGGAGCATCCATGCTCTTCTCTCAGACACACGCCTTCTCCCAGGTACACTTTTTTCGTCATTCCTTTTGGAATCCTTTTGAAAGTATCCATTCCAGGTCGGGGTCTTCCTAATAGTGTTGACGTTGTGCAGTTGGGTTTTCGCGACGTTCTTCTTCCTGCCACTGCTATTTTTCTCGGTTCGTTCCACGAAACGATGCGATGATTGTAATAGTTTGGCTATTCCTTCGTATCCGTTGAACGAGAAATTTCGCTCGTAACGGGTCCAACCCATAACCTCGGTTATTATCATGACCTCACGAACGGGGTATTTATTCGCTGCCGATGATGTGTTTAGATTCGTAGCCATCAGAAACGCTAGCAATCTGCTTTATTCAACATTACGGGTGCAAATGTCTAACGTTCCTTGATAGTGCCAAATAAAAGTTTCAAATGAAGATCTGCACGGATGTAACGACTATTGAAGCCTAGGCTGTGTGCAGTATGTGCTACGTTACTGTGCAGTATGCACTGACTTGTACGGGGTGGTGTTCAGGAAAACAGGCGGTGAACAGTACGTCAAATTAAGCGTAGAACTGATTGCGTAGGAGGAGCGAGTGCACACAACACCACACGGTCTCCGCCTCGGCGGCCATTGGTCAGGCGCAAAGCGGAATTGGCGCTTCGCTCTCGCCTCCTGTTTTCATCCCGCTTACGTTATGCCCAGTAGTGCGCATTCGCCGAGACACTCAATTTCACGCGTAACTTTTGGGAATACGGTATAACTCCTTTTTTTGTACTTATAATCGCGTGTGATATGCTATTTTCCGTAGCAGGAAGGAAGGGATCTACAGTAACCCGTTCAATGATGTTGAGAGATGTTAACTCCGCCAATATCTGTTTCTGAGTCACGCTCTGAGCGTATATGGTACGGCGTAGAGAACAAGGGATGGCCCTACGGCATCTCCTCTCTCTCGGACACGTCGTTGAGGGAGGCGGACGAGGGCTATCACTAGAGATCACTAGAGTGTGATCGGTCGGGGGGGGGGGGGGGTGGGGGTATCAGTTCATGAACGGTAACCTGTTCAAACCAGCCTGGGGAGACTAGAGACTAGAGACTCAGACTGCGTACATTCTTTGCGCCTGCGTTTAAAGCGTACAGTAGCGCTTTCGGCGTCAATGTTCCGAGCGTCCACCAGCGTCTGGTGCATTTCGAGCGACTAAGAAAGTATGGGTATGGATTATCGCTGAGAACGCTGGCGTACACCCTGAACCCTGGATCGGTACCTACAGTTCTCTAGTCTCTAAAACGCTGCTAAGTGTTCAAAATGCTGACGCTGCTCAAAGCGCTGCTGCGAAGTATGAACTCACTTCACTGCTGGGCTAGGGAGCCTCACAGCTCGATAACAAGGTTATGAAAACTCTCGGAGCAGATTCTACCCCACAGTTCCTCCCAACAATCTGCTCCAAATAAATATGGGTGGGACGTTCTGCTGGTGGCGTCACGTGGGCGGCATCCATGCAAGGAGCTGACTTCACGAATCAGTGTTACTGCACGCTGCCAGAAGTACTGCAAGTCAACTGGTCAAAAAGAATATCTAGTTGGTACGAGTTGCCGCCATGTAAATCCCACAAACTACATCAAATCTGGATTTTTTTTTCATTTAACAACAAATACGGACGAAACGAGGATTTATTAAGTTTCAGGTAATACTAGAGATCTTCAACCCTAAAACTTGGCAGTTTTCATCCTACCGTTGATTCGAAAAAATGTAGAATTCGTTTTGTACTTCGAAAATCGATTTTACAACAACAGTCCTATAGTACAGTAGTACAACTTTAAGTATAGAAGAACACGACAACACGAGATTAGCATGGATGAGTTCAAGACAACCCAAATATGATAAATCTGAAGGCTGGGCAATTGAACAAAAATGACATTTTTCGTGAGTTGCACTGATCTGGCAGCGGTGTTCATTAGAAATGTAGGAGGGGGGGGGGGATCGCTCAGCGGTCTCGGTCGGAATCACTAGACCTCTATAAGGCTTGAAGCACAGCCACTGATGCTGTTATTCAGTATTTCATGACTTTTCCTCCATTCTTGCGCGCGCTCTTTATACGTAGTAGGCCTCATTGGAAGCCCCGCCTCAATTAGCTACGCCCCCTTCTTGCCCTTACATGACAATTATTTACGCTTTTTTTGCAATTTCTATAAATTGTTGTTATTGTTTGATGGACCTAAACGATGACACACTTCACCCCCCCCCCAACGGCTCCGCCCACTTATCGGAGAATTTTTATATAAATTTTGCCGATTTATAACTTTGTTATCCGACATCTCTTTTCAGAAGATTTTCCACAGATGGATAGGGGACAGTGTCCAGATAAGAAGCCTTGACCTTACCCTCAATCCAGCGTTGTGCAGACAGCCAGTTAGCCGTGTGCGAAAAGAGAAGCGTGTTGAATGATCAAAACCTGTGATTTGCAAAACTATAGAAGAGATGGCCATTGTGGGGTAAATGATCACAAAAAATGCCAAAGTAATTAAGTAAAACGAGGAAATCATTGGAAACAAAGGAACACCATACGACAGCAAGCGAAAGCATGGCGCGATGGTCTAAAGAATTACAGTTTTTTGCATCTACTCAAATCTTTTGCGGGATGGCGTTAGTCGGTAATTAATATAATGCAATAATATATTATAATACAAAACTACAAATTTGTAGCAGCAAGAAAGTACCAGAGAAACTTGATGACGCCCGTGAACTCAGGGAAACTAAGGGGTGGGAGTAATGTTTCATAAATGAGTGGGGGGGGGGGTGGTGGTGGTGGTCGTATTTGGTCTGCAGAGATGTTCAGTATCGCAAAAGAATGGATTCTTTCACAAAGATATGAGGACGTGTGTCAGAGACCAGTTCAGACAAGGGACAATTGGCAATATGAAGGTACCGCCTCCTGAAATCCGTGCCCCCTTACACGTCCTATCCACTTCTTCGCGATATGGGCTGCGTATATCACGAGAAGAGTGCGCGCCGCGCCGCGTCGCGTCGCATGCATCCGATGCCAACGCTACATTTTAAAATATCGCTGCCTTCAAATAGGTTGAACAAAGGGTTGGCACAATTGTTAGATAATTTGTAGAGAATGAGAGATAAAAGAGAAGCTGTACATGATCCAAATCTCGTTATATACAAAAAGCAACATATAATGAATCCTGATCAACGCTATGGGGCTTCACTTGTTCTTAGTCAGTCACATAATCATCACGTCGCATTGGCCGATGCTATTAGGCTTTTGCTACGGACGTGCTGGCGCTTTCAAATGAGCTTGCTTTCTTTTTGGGACTACTTCTGAGCGGTTTCTTCGGCTGACAACCCGTTTTGAAGATGCTCAGAATTCCAAGAAGCAATTCACGGCCAACATCTTTAAGGTCTTTCGTTCCAATCTGAATAAAGACTGCTAATGAAACAAGCTAATCTGGAGAAAAATCCAATGGGACGCACCTGGAATCCTTTATAGGCACCCGTCTCAAATCCTGAGAATGTCGACTCCATCGTGTACGCCCTAGTGACACCGAATTGTCTCCAAACTGTCACCCTTGCAGAGGACTCTTTTCCTCTGGTAATACCAAATTGGCATAGATCGGACGAAAAAGCCGGCGAGTTCTGTGAAATGATCGCTTGGAACTCCGAAAACAAAATATCCAAAACTGAGAAGTGAAAGGCACTCCCAAATTACTTCAAAAATCAGGCGCCATTCAGTATTGTAGGTCATCTTGAGGTAGACCACCCAAGGAAATGTAGAAACTACGACTCAGTGATTCCTCCCCTCCCCCTCCAGTGCTCCCTTTCATTTGAAGGCAGGGAATACGACGGATGGAGAGGGGGGTGGGGGGTAATTAGTGCCAACGCCACTGGTGGAAAGGCTGAGGGGAATGTAGCTGAACACCTCGAACCCCCTCCACCAAGGACGTTGGCAGTAATCGCGCGTCCCCATCCATCGTGCCCACTTCCTTTAAAGACACATGGTACGCTCAAACACATTGAGGGTGTATGAGACTATCAGCCCCCCAGCTGTCGATGTGTCGTGGTCCCCCCGCCCAAAACTGCACGGGGTCAGAGTACGGGGCCGTGGGAAAGTCGTAATTCCTTGCTACGCCGCCCTTTTTGCAAACTCACGTTTTTACTAACACCGTCCGCGCGGCGCGGTCGTGCAGCTCTCTTGGCTTTTTGCCAAGTCCTGTAATTGCGCTTTGGAATACAAGTACAACGCAATTTCTTTATGCGGATAACATTTTAGGTTCTGCAAAATAAGAACTGAAGATGATGACGAGGGCTAGAACTCAAGAGCAACTGTGCTGCTTCTGCAACAGCCCTCGCAGGCCGCGCATTCCCACAAAACATCAAAATAAAAACGGCCTAAGCGTCCCACTCGTTAGTTTGAAGTATTTCTATAGCAGAGCCGGATTCGAGCCGGATCGCAGAAATGCACACGCGATTTTAATTTATTGCGTTTCCTTAGTTTTTTCAATTTTGTTTTATTTACATCTCTTCATTTCTAGCCTTTGTCATCTTCATCACCTTCTATTCGGACTTTGAAGCATGAGCATTATGTTAGGAAATTGCGTTTTGCTTGTATTGTCATGTTTTATTGTCATGTTGTCCGTTTTTATTGTCATGTTCTGTGGGAATGCGCGGCCTCTGAGGGATATTGCAGAAGCACCACAGTTGCTCTTGAGTTCTAGCCCTCGTCATCATCTTCGGTTCTTATTTTGCAGCACCGCATAAAGAAATTGCGTTGTACTTGTATTCCAAAGCGCAATTACAGGACTTGGCAAAAAGCCAAGAGAGCTGCACGCGACCGCGCCGCGCGGATGGTGTTAGCATAAACGTGAGGGCGGTGTAGCAAGGACTTTCCCACGGCCCGTACTCTGACCCCGTGCAGTTTTGGGCGGGGGGACCACGACATCGACAGCTGGGGGGCTGATAGTCTCATACACCCTCAATGTGTTGAGCGTACCATGTGTCTTTAAGAACAGGCAAAACTCATACTCATGGCTTACAATGGTCTCTTCGCACCTTAACTCACAAACTCAAACTCCTTAGTGAAGTAGCGCGATATCTGTCAACATATTTAGCTACTTCCAGCAAGAGCGCGGCATGAATAGCGCACAAAACAAGGCAGTAAAGAGAAACCACCAAGAAAGCTGGAGAGGAAATAAATGAAGGATAACGTCATCCCCTAGTTCTAGTTCCATTCAGACTTGCGGTGGCTTAATGAATGCGATGTGGTCTCTGCAATGAGGGAGGGGAGCTAGCCGATGGTGAATGCTGTTATTCTCTCAGACGAATCTGCGCGGTAGCCGATCCCGATTCGACCCTCCGAGCCACGCCTGGCGAGCGTACCACTTGTCACTACACCACCTCCGCCTCCACTACCGCAAGAAAATAAGAGAGGCAATGAACTACCTGCTCTAGCACTTCCGGTAATGCCATAAATTCGTAATTATGCGGCAGCACTTTGTCGTCAGCTCTCCATGATTCTTCTGGATTGTTCCCGAACATGAACACATTTGCTCTACGTGAATGACCATGGAGATCCACAAAAACCGATGGTGGAGTTTTCAAAATATCACACTATGTGGAAAAAAATCATAAGACAATCGAGAACTACATGGTCGATTCGTAAAGACAACTTACCATGTACTGAATAACCGCTTTAGTGTGGTAAATTTCCGGATGTACATGGCGACTCGGTTTGTCCCAAACCCTACAAATAAGGGTGAAGGATCTTCCCATTAAGAACAGTGAGCACGTTAGCTGGGGCGGGCGGTTCTGGTGGAAGAGCTAAATGGGACCTGACCAAACACCCTCCTGCCGCAATTCCATTAATGACAGTCGCCCGCCTCCAGCCACCGTGCCCAGCGCCATTTGAGAAAATAGAAAAAAAGCGCCTCGATATTTTGCTCCGCTTTCACAGCGCTAGCAGGGCCCATCACTAAGTCGTGGGGAATTTTCGCCAAAACTGACTTCAAAAGATTCCTCCTTCAGCACGATCACTTTCCTAATCCTCCCACTTTTGCCGAAATTTTACCATGGGAGGGAAGGGTTATAGCGTCCATGAAAGGTGAAAGTAAAAAACCTGAAAAAATTTCTCATAGCAAAATACGACCCACTACCTCTATAGCACCGAACGGGACCCCTTGTGTTTTACGCAACGTATGGCATGCTTCACTGGGAGAATGAGTCTAAGGTCGCACTCATATTTCTGGTGATACCTGTTCAAGTCGACTCCAGAAAGCGAACAACGATGACTACCATTGATGACTCCGTCAGGGTTCAGCATTGGCACCAACTTGAATATGAACCGTGTCCGAAGTTCATCAGTAAGAGGATCCATAGAAGTGAGTAAAGATTCGAGAATACCTAAACGAGGGACGAGTGCTGACGGATCGATTGATGTGAACTAGTAGAAGCTCGTGCTCACCATGCATCATCCAGCTTGCATTGCTTTCACCGGGATGCACTCGAGAGCTCAGAAATACGATTTGCTTCTTGGATATTTCAGTAGCGGAGCATTTAGCCGTGACGGTTAGTAAATTAACAGAATTGCCTCCCAAAGACTCTCCAATAACATCATTCGAGTAGTACACTCCAGTGGGGACTAAGGACAAACATCTCGAAATCGTTGCCTAGAATAGAGTGAAAACCTGCTGACACAGCTATCAAACCCTACCCATCACAGTCTCGAAGTCAAATTGCACCTTACTTGGGAGGATCCTCATCGTTGCCACGTGCAACGTATATGGATACACAGCCCTCTCACATTGCCGCCCGTTCACTCACACGTCTGACCATAGCCAAACACGCTACTTGTCTATACCCTCTCAATTCTAGTCGTCCTCTACCTCAGTGTGCGTGTTCGCGGCGCGATCTTTGTGGTGACTCAAGTGCTGCACAATGATGAGAGCGCGAGCAAAGTCCCAAACGGCACAAAGGTATCACTTCCGTTCAGCCTCTTTCCTCTTTTCACTCTCAAGTGGCAGAAGTGTTGCATCTGTGCAAATGCCAACCAGTTCTTCTCGCGTATGGCCAGACCCCCTCTCGGAGATAAGCTAAACAGTGCGTCTTTGCATGACCACAGAAGTGCCTCACAAAAAAACCTGTCATCAAGTGAAATGGAATGCCTTCCCTTAGAAGGTGAAAAAGCAGACATCTTTAGAAGGTCACATTGTCAAAGGCTGCGTTTATACTTTGCGGCAGCGTAGCGTAGCGCTTCCAGCGTACGCCAGCGGCAGTGCCGGGGAGAGGATGCATATCGATCTAGCGTTCCCAGCGTCACCAGCGTAACGCTAGCGTACGCCAGCGTTTCTCCAGCGTTTCACCAGCGTTTTGCTAGCGTTTGCAGCGGCAGGGGAGTAGAGACTATGTGGCCGTCAGAGACGCGGAATCGATGTGTATTGTAGAGACTATGTGGCCGTCAGAGACGCGGAATCGATGTGTATTGTAGAGACTGAGGGCGAGTGAGAGACGCGCAATCGATGTGTTTTGTACCCTCCAGCTCTCCCATAGTCTACTCCCCTGCCGCTGCAAACGCTAGCAAAACGCTGGTGAAACGCTGGAGAAACGCTGGCGTAACGCTAGCGTACGCTAGCGTTGGTGACGCTGGGAACGCTAGATCGATATGCATCCTCTCCCCGGCACTGCCGCTGGCGTACGCTGGAAGCGCTACGCTACGCTGCCGCAAAGTATAAACGCACACCAAAAGATTTCTTGCAGAAAAGAAGAAAGAAAGGTCACAATCGGAGGCCAGCGTAAAGAATTCGACAAGAAAAGGCTCACCTTCAAGAAAGAGAACGTGTATGGGAAATGATACGCAAAGTAGCAAATATCACCCTTGTTGCGGAACGTCACATTAAAGCGAATCGAGTAAAAACCCCTGAAACTAAGAGATTTGACCGCAAACCACTAGCAACTTCGTTAGAAGGAAGGGGTAAGACTAGCGTACGAGTCACTCGGTTCGACCCTGCTTGGAAATCTTCGTTCCACTCTGAGAGCAAGGTCAAAAGGTTTTTAGTTCGAAGAGAACTAGTCATGCGTTGCAAACGAAACACACCCTACCAAACCTTCATCCTTTCTCGGTACCCTTCAAAACTGACCGTTTTCTGGTTCTGCTTTCTTCCATCTCTCCATCATCGTCGACAGTATACAGGTTACGATAATAACACACGGAATCACCAGCGCGAACCCATGCACCACGACCATTAAGGGCGTCCCGAACAGAATACATCACAGGTTGCATGCCTTAAGCGTATACAATATGTTTTATCGGAAAGCACTTTGAGCGCCCGCTCCTGTTCGTTTCAAAACTTGTCCTACGATCCGAGAGCGGACTCTCTCATCAGTTCCCCTTGGTCAACCTCCTTCATCCCTCAGGGGTTGTGCCAGACTTATACTGGAGAATAAAAACATTGACCTGCACTTTGGCCTCTGCAAGTTATACAAGAGGTCAGCATAGCTTACCTTGAAGATGATTCTACAGAGAGCGCAGAGATTCCTAGAAATACCCTAAAATTAAATGTCGAAAAAGAAAAATCACCTTTACTGTACATCGAGGTCGCCTTCAAGCAATTAATTACTTCAAAGCTGTACACAACGTTATTTACAATATTAGAAACCTAAAAATAGATTGTTGAATAAGGAAAAGAAGGGTGAGGAGAAATCGGTAGATATTCCCAGAATCATTAAATCCACTAACTTCAAAATAAAACCATTGATAGTGTTCTTTTCGTTGATTGATGTCCGGCGATAAAATCAGCTCGTAGTGATTTGGACCAGTCTTAAAAACCTTGTTGAAACTTACAGAAACCTGCACAAAAGAGTAACAGCCCTGGCACTGAACTAACAATGCTCATATCTCGGAGATGGGGATGGCGCACTCCAATAGGACATGGCATAAGATACTTTTTTTTCGTGGGATCTTTTCACTGAAGGCAACCATCATTCAATTTTGTGCGGTACAAAGACCTGATGACAATTAAGGAATATATCTCAGGAAAGTGCAGTTGTCGATTCATTCGGATGAAGTACGCAGACACGCCCTCTCCATTTCCGGGATATGAGATGTGCATTTTCCGCGCGAAATACATCGCTCCCAAACGCAACCATCAGTGGTAAACCACCCAAACCAGTGTGTGCTTGTCAATTCATCACAGATTTGTTCAGATCCATCTGAAATTTTTAACAAAGATCAATGACTTCCAGAATGACGACCACTGCGTTGATCCAAAGTTGCTGTACATAAACTCCGGTGACGACGGCATGGACGGGGGATCAAATCTCGGATCAAATTCCTACACAATCCCCAATTTACCAAGTCTGCTTTCCAGTCAGAATCTATTGATCAATATCACGCCTATCTGTGGGCATAAAATTGAATTTGCAACACAGCATTGTCGACCATTTTATTTTCTTTCGCTCTGTTGAAAACTGCCTCCGTAAACAAAAACGTGGTTCCGGTTGAAGTAGCGAAGTAGCGACGGTCACTTTCACGCCAGAACACGCTCAGGGTCAAGTGTACAGTGTGACAGTCACACCGTGGAAATGGAATTTGGCTTTCAAAGGGTGGGTGTAAAATTGAACGTTTGAAAGAAGCGACACAAAATTAGACACAAAATTAGAGAAAAACTCATAGAATAGGGGGAACCTCGAGGAACGTCTATTTCAAGATTTAAAGCGACACACGGCAGAGAGGCTACAGCATGGAGACGTATTGCTGAAGTTGGTTGCATGCATAATCCTGCTGCGCAACGAGGTTCCTTGACCAGGGCCATTTCCAAAATCGGTGGATATTCAGGTTAAGCTAAACCATCTCTTTCAAGTGAAGCATCGAACAAGAACCTTCCTAAGGCCCTCCAAACCTAAACTACGACTCAATACATTAAAGGCAGTGAGTACGATCTTCGAGGACGGGCGGTCATCGCCAGTGTAATTTCAGCCGTTCCACCAATGGTACAGGCAACAAACACCTGCTCCCAGCAGTCACGCCTACTGCCTTCAAGAGGAAGACATGAATACTGTTGCGTACCACTTTAGAAAGCATCATTCACTGTCACTGTATGTATAGGCCGAAACAAAGAACATACTGCCATCCACTGTGCGCCCCTCCTAACACAGCGAGGAGGATCCTGCCGATAAGAAAGGCATTACGGCAAGCCTGACTTTGTCCACGCAGTCAGTACAAGCTGTACTTGGAGCGAAAATATCGTACTTGAGCGGTTTGGGCGCAGTTCAGCGACGGAAAGGGTATTTAGCACTATTGCTACCTTACTAGTTTCGCTTTACATGCGTCACTCTCGCGAACTCTTGCGAAGCTGGAGCAAGCTCGTGAAGCAACCATGGTAAAACCTTTTTACTCCTATAAGCTCATGTAACGGCTGTCGAGATGGCTCAACACGTCGATGGGGAGAGCAAAAGTGCAAAATGCCTTTTCTCCGAAGAACTTAGATTACCTCTGCCATTTTACATCAAGTGAAACGACAATTGCTTAAAAGTAATAGAGGTTTACAATAAGGGTCAGACACGCTCTCGCTGGATTTCCGTATTCTGCGGAAAAAATACGACAAAGTTCACCTGCGTCGCTCTGCGAAGGTTTCCACATTCGAAGCGGCTCTCGAATACAAGATGATCGACATCTGGGTCAATGTGACCAACTCTGGAATAATCGTATAGTTAGAATGAATGGGCAATTGAACTAGCGTTTAAAAAAGTCATCGAAAGTCAACAACTGAACGTATTTCTACAAGGTTCGAGTTCGAAGAAACCGTGCACTCGTATTCGAGGGGGGTTCCTGCCATGTGCGATGTGAATGGGTCCGCAGCTGCAGTGGCGTGCCAGTTCTTAGGTGGGGGAGTTGGAAGCACTCGCGTCAAAATCAAAATCCCTCAACGAACAGGCAGTTTCAGCTGGGGACAACCAAAAATGAGAGGGCACAACAAGACAAGTGGGACTTTCGGGTGTGACGGGTGGCCGAGCGGCTGCACGAGCGGAGCCCAGATACGGCACCCAGACGGATATCACTGTCCTCCAGCCTCGTTCTCATATATTTTTGAGAGGAGAAAATGGCACGCTACTGCCCCCTGGTTACCTCGCTCACGGCAAGTACCAGGAACTCGCGCTGATTGTGAGTGTAAAATTGGTCTTTAAGACAAGTAACGTATGAACCTACCTTTTCCGATCGCTGCACGAAAGAAGATGGGTGGGTGCTCTGCTTGTTTTTTCATCGACGGCCAAAGAGTCCAAATCGTATACTACTTTGGAAGGAAACTGAGCGCTGGCTCGAGCTCTAGCTATTTCATGAATGACCACATCCCTGGAAGTGTAGGAACATTATCTCAATATTGCTCTGAAAGTAATTCTCAAATACTAATACTACACTGGAAACCAGTGCTTAAAAATGTAAAAGCAGACTACAACTAAGGAAAATCAAATTCTGCGACCCTACTCGATTTTTACTTCCTGGATAAGAGGATTTTCATTTTCGTCATTGCGCTGACCGTGGGCGGCGGCGCATCTATTCGCTCTCTTGGTCGCCACATTCATCATATTTGCACATTTTTTCAACACGTCTGTGGTTCCTATTACTAGGTATTGTCTAAGGCGTACACTTCTGTGGCGAGGAGTGACTTTCGTTCGGATACGTTGAATTTCGCCACCTTATCGGGTAATTTTTACTTTCCTTCGCCGTTGATTATTGCTAGATCATCACCGGCGGTCGATCGATTGTTATTTTGTAATCCACCTCGACAGTATGATTTCTCCCTCCCGTTCCTCTTCTGTTCCAGTAAAGAGATCTCGTATTGGCGATTCACCGCAAGCCACCACCAATGTGATGGACAAGCTACAACTTATCCGGTCAAGTCGCGATATTCCGCCTTACATGCAGTTGATAATCGACCTCTTGATCGATACTCGCCGTGAATTAGCTAATGTCAGCCGGAAATGCGATTCATACGAGGACGAGAATAGAAGATTGAGGGAGGGAAAATTTGGTCTTGAAGTTTAAATTGATGAACTAGTTTCTGCTAACTCAGCTTATCCTCATACTAATGTTCAAAACTCTCATAGCGAAGCTGTTGTTCATTCTGTCAGTTCAGCTACTGATGATGTGAGTCCTGTTTTGAAGCGTTACATTGTTATATCCGGCGTTCCTGAGATATTGCACGCACACTTTGCTTGACTTTCTCGATGTGTCTTGTCCGTGTACCGTATGGGTGAAAAGACCCTCGTAGACCAAGACTCTAATTCTACCCAGTAGTGGATTCCAAAAAGAAGTTATAAGACGCGCTCCTCGCTTACGTTTCTTCTCCCATCAAGGCGTTTTTATACGCCCTTCTCTCACACTGGATGAGAGAAGACGCAGGCGAGAAGAGTGGCTTACTCGTCGAAATCACTCTCAGGATGAAGCTTCTACTGTGCATAATGTTGATCACTCAGGTAGCCCACAAATCCTCCCCAACCAGGCGGTAAACCTCTGAGTTGTCCTAGGTTCTCCCAGGGCACTTTGACGCCTGGCCCATGCACAAATTTTTCTGGTAACTTGTTCTCGAGGGAAATTCAGGATCAAGTGTATGTTGTCAAATGTCAGGTCTTTTGTTAAAAATAGTGACGCTGTCATTTCACTGTTAATACGTGAGAGCTATGATTTGGTTTTTCTTTCGGAATCTTGGTTAACTCCTAACGTTGAAGTGTGTAGTCTGCTAGGTGTTGCTAACTCCCAGTACACTCATCTCAGATGTGATCGTGCCAGAAGAAAAGGAGGGGGTGTCCTGATTCTCATTAGAAACGCTATACCTCACAATATTGTCTTCAGTGAATCAGTACCCGAAGCTTATGAGATTATTGTTATTGATGCATACCTTAACCTTGCCACTGTCAGATTCGTGTTAATCTACAGGACTCCATCTTGTAATGCCCTCAAGACCAATTTACTTCTTAAAGCGATAAGTGACTTCAGTTCTCACGATGGCGCAACTCTCGTACTAGGTGACTTTAACATGGCTGATGCTAGCGTGTATCAAAGTGATGCAGGTAACTCTGTTTCTAAGGAGTTTGTCCAGACGCTGTACTCTCATGAGTTTGCCCAGCTAGTACATACCCCAACCCGAGGCAGCTCCATCCTTGACTTGGTCTTCTGCAATCGCCACTTCCTAGTCTCAGGAGTCAATGTTCTACCACCCATTGGTACCAGTGACCATGCCACTGTTCAGTTTCTACTTAACATTTATAAACCTGACCCACAAGTTGCAATGGTTAGGGACTTCTCCCGAGTTGATTGGCGGGCTGTTGGAGATTACCTCGCGAGGTGTCGACTGGATTGGTTCCTTTGGTAGCGTTTGCTCAGTTAATGATAAGTACGAGTTGTTCCTGTCCATTTTGAATGATGTCATCAACACTTTTATTACCTCGCGGGTGTCGACTGGATTGGTTCCTTTTTCTAAGCGTTGGCTCAGTTAATGATAAGTACGAGTTGTTCCTGTCCATTTTGAATGATGTCATCAACACTTTTGTCCCACTTTGTAGTGTCAAGCGGAGTACAGATCCCTTCCCGGGTATTTAGATCGTATGATTACTCGTTGCGGTGATCTCTGGGATTTAGCGGTCAAAGAAAACACAGAATCTTACTGGACTTCTTACAAACAGTTTACTCGAAAGCTTGATAAGGCCCTTGCGAAACACTATGCAAGCATTGAGAATAAAATAATCGCTCCAAAATAATCGCTTCCATCCATACTCCTAAGCATATCAATTCACGATTAAAACTTAGGAGCAAGTTACCTGCGCTGGTAGTTGATGAGTCCCACCTCGCGATCAGTGATAAAGATAAAGCTGAGCTATTGGCCGAGAGGTTTCAACTAGCGTTTCAAACTATTGCGAACAATCCATGGAAGACCTCACGCCACTTTGTCCTACCATGGAACCAACAGTTTGGTTTCATCGGGAGGAGTATATGAAGTTCTTCCTGCTTGGCCCACCTCTCCTTCTCATTACCCCTGACTTCATCCCTTTTAAGTTCATCAAAATGGTACTGAACCATCTACTCTATCCCCTTGAGCATCTCTTCAATTTGTCTTATTTGAGGGCAGAGGTACCAGATCGTTGGAAGCACTCTTTAGTAACACCGGTTCCCAAAAAAGCCCCCTACAATCGCTGTGAGAATTACCGCCCAATTAGTATTACCTCCATTTTTGCTAGGGCTTTCGAGAAGATTTTGAAACGTCGGCTTATAGCTCATCTTGATGAGCACAATATCATTTCTGGCTCTCAACATGGTTTTCATAAGGGACGATCAGTTGAGGCCGCTCTTCTAACTTCCCTCAATGACTGGACAAGTTTTCTTAACATGTTTTGTTAAGAACGTTGTTGCGGCGTGTACTCCCGGGAGTACACGAAAAAACTCCGCTTTCGGCGAATCGTGTACTCCCGGGAGTACACGCGCCTATTCGCTCGTTTTTGGTATTTTCTTTTCCTTTTTCACTAAGAATTGGATACAGATAATCAAACAAACAATCGAGAAACAATATTCACACATTATTAGAGGCGTGTACACCCGTAAAACACTTAAAAACTTTTCTCTTCGGCGAATCGTGTATTCCCAGGAGTACGCGCGCCTCTTCGCTCGATTTTGCTATATATTTTCTTTTTCGCTAATAATTATATACAGATAATAGAACAAACAATAGATAAATAATATCCACACATCAGAAGAGGCGTGTACTCCCGAAAAAAACACGCGAAAACTTTTCTCTTTTGGCCAATGTCGTACTCACAGAAATACACGCGCCACTTCACTCATATTTTTATGATTACTATTATTTATGATTTTATTCTCTTCTTTTCACTGACAGTTATATATAAATAATAAAATAGACGACATATAAAAAAAATATCAAGAGGTATTAACACCAACATTAGATAAAACAC